TGCTTACCCAGAAAGCAGCAACGTGCATTCTCGTGGTCGGGATCACTCAAGGCAGGGGTTTGCAACCTTAAGAGCCACAAAGGTCCTAAGCAGAAGCGCTCCCCCCTTCATTTCTGGAGGCGACTGGAAGTCCGGTTCCCCCATCATAGAGTTTCCTCCTAGCGCGGCAAATTTGGAACAACAGGGAGCCGCAGCAGAGGGATAAAAGAGCCACATGCGGCTCCTGAGCTACCCCTGGCCCGAGACATTGGGTTGAGCAAAAATGGTGAATTCTCTTAGCATAATGGAGAAACCAGACAGCCAGCTAAAGCCCAATTGGGGTTTATTTGTTTGACCATGCGTGTTGTGTTAAAAAAAACACCCCAGGGTTTTTTAAACGGAGCTTTAAATATAAAGAGCTGCGTGAACCCAGGTTCTCGATCTTTTTTATGTATTGACTAATTCTAGATTCGCAAATAAAACCCAACCTAACCGGAAAGTTTGCAAACCGTTTTGTAAAAGTGGGCTTAGGCTGAATCTTCGGAGGTTGCTTCTCTTGGAGTCCCCCAGGCGAAGCGGCCGGTTTTGTCTCTCCTTGCCCGTAAATTAACTCCACCTTCGCTCGCGCTCTCTGCACTGCCTGCAAATTAGTTTTTAATTACTTTATTTCGATTTCTGCATCTTTCCGATCAGAAGCCTCTTTCGTGCTACCACGGCTATTACCGGTAGTAAGCAATATTCTTCGGCTGGCAGCCCATTAAGAAACAGTTACTTCAAAATGCTGCGGTTGCTTTCATTACACACCTGTCTATACTGATATTGCAAAATGTTAGAAAACGATAACAGCTAACATCTGGCAAAGGTTCCGTTGGGGAGATCCGGAACAAAGAGAAGACAACTTTTGCCGGCTTCTAGAATTCCGGGGGTGGGAATCTTCCCACCAACCAAAATAGAAAAGGGGCAGAATCAGCTTGTAAGAACTGTCTCCGTTTTAACTTTATTTTGGTTTCGGTGGGTTCCTCGTGAATGTGACCTGTGTCCCGAATTCAGGGTTCAAGATACGGTGCAGATCCGGACAAGGATGGGAGAAACCGGATTCAGGCAGCTGAGAACGTCTCGAAAGGTTTTGGGAATGAGGACTCAGATTGTTGGGGGCAATAGGTAAACCGCTTAGAGGGGGCTGTAAAAGCACTATGAAGTGGTATATAAGTCTAAGTGCTATTGCTATACCCCCGTCCCCATAGATAAAGGATCTCGATCTCCAAAGGAAAGAAATGGGATTCAGCTTAAATCAAAATAGAGCCGCGATTCTCGCAGTCTCGGAAAGTTAAACTGCCGCCGGAAGATCACAGCGCCGCAAAGACTTACGAAGAAAGGAGAAAGAGAAAGGAAAAGCGAGCCGCTCGGTTGAAATAAGGATTAGTTAGCCCTTTTCTCCACTTTCTTTGGCTTCTCGTCGGAAATCTTCTGGAGTCGATTCGCTCAATCTCCCTGTCCACGCCGGAAAGTGGAATGAGCGTCCCTAACTCCGAGTAAAGGGGGCGAAAGTCGGGAGTGGGGGAAAGGACGCCGCGCTGCGATCACCGCAGCTGCCAAAACACGAAGCCCGGTTTCTAAGAAGAGCGAAGGGTGCAGGAGGGAGGGCGGGAGGGGCAGGAGGAGGCAGCAGAGGCCGGAGAAGGAAGGAGGGGAGGCAGAAGTCGGGGGTAACTCGGGTTCCTGGACAACTGCAAGGGGGCTCGCTCGCTTCCCTTGTAACTGTGGCAGATCCGAATTCAAGAGACGCGTCGTCTTTCGAAGACGCGTCTCTTTCCCAATAAGGTTGTAAGGAAGAGGCAAAACGCTGCCGCCTGGGACAGACCATCTCGGGTCGGGCACGAGTGGCAACGGAGACGCGGCTCGTCTGAACGCCTGCCTAAGCAAGCGCTGGGATCCCCCGCCTTGTTTTTGATCCCAAGTCACCCGCAGAAAAAAATTAAAGGGTTAATTCTTAAGTGCCAAATTTAAAAGGGATTTTTTTAAAAAAGGCCGTTCTTCCCTTTGGCCCGAAAATTGGAGCACGGACTATCAATTAATGCAACTTGTTTCCCCACTGGGCACACATGGATCTACACTACTACACCACGGATCTGCAGAGGATGGAAGTGAAACTCGGAAATATCTGAACGTAACAGGATTAGGAAGGCTGCGTTTTTGCCCAAACTCGGAAAAGTAACGGTGTGAATTTGATTCTTAAATAACAGCCCCCCCTCCTTTCCCCGCAGTAACCCTGAGGACTAGAAGTTTAAGTCAAAAACCGGCGTGGCAGGCAAGCTTTCTGTCGCTCAAATGGAGCTGAGTAAAATTGAACGCGCTGGGGTGTTTGAGGTTGCCAGCCCCCCCTCCTCCTCCTTTACACAAACTCTCCTTCCCCTTTTCAAAACCAGAAAACAAACCAGTCGCGAAAGCGAAGCAAAAGAAGTGGGACAGACGCCAGCTAGCGAAAGAGCCACGGGAGTGGGGGAAAAGCAGAGAAGGCCGGCCTCAGAACAGAGGGTCCTCGCTCTATTTTGGAAATAAATTCAACCTTACAACAGACAGGATATTGTGTGTGTATGTGTGTTTGTGTGTTATTTCGTTTCGGTAGACCAGAGGTCTTCAAACTTGGCAACTTTAAGACTTGTGGACTTCAACTCCCAGAATTCTCCAGCCAGCTGGGAGTTGAAGTCCACAATTCTTAAAGTTGCCAAGTTTGGGGACCCTGCGGGAGACCTATTTTGGGGGGGGGAGAGGGAGGGAGGGAGGGAGAGAGAACATTTCTGGGCATGCGCCATTCTTCTTACTAAGCTTTACGACTACCAGATATTTGTGAGAAATCTTGTTATTTCTACGGGAAACGCTGCCTCGTCCCCAGTTCTAGGACGTTTTCGAGGTTATCGCTATTTTTCTTAGGGCTCCTATTTGGGCACCTTCACTTTTACTTTCCTCCCGCGCTTACAGGGACGTTAGATTCCCGTCGGGGGGAGAAAACGCGGCCCAGGCGTCGTGTGGGTGAAGTGAGCATCGCGTTTAGATTCCGGAAAGCAAGTTACTACAGGCTGGAGGAGCTGATCTGGCTTCACACGAGACGCTCGGATACAATGGGGTGGGATGCCCGAGAGTGCGAGTGCGCCAGAGGAGTCCAGGCGAAATCTCGACCTGTGGCGTGTGGACCGGGCGATAGTCGTAGGCCAACCTTTGTTAGCCTTTCGCAAGAGACTGAAGTCCGGTCTGGTTTCCTCAGCAGACTTTGGGTAAGAGGGCGATCAGCTCTGCTACTCATTGGGGGTTCACGGTTTATCCGTGGAGGTCGGAAGAGTTATGTTTGGGAGCGGCGGGGTGGTGGTGTTTATTTCATTTTTTATTTTATAAGTGGCCGACTTGTATGAACTGAGCGGGTATTTAAATAATATACATACATACATACATACATACATACATACATACATACATACATACATACATACATACATACATACATACTGTCCTTTATCCCTTTTAGAAGAATCTGTCCTGTCCTTCGGTCAGTCGGTCGGTGTCTGTCTGTCTGTCTGTCTGTCTGTCTGTCTGTCTGTCGTCTGTCTGTCTGTCTCTCTCTCTCTCTCTCTCTCTCTCTCTCTATCTATCTATCTATCTATCTATCTATCTAAATATATATCTAAATATCTATCTATATTGTGCCAATTTAACCAATTTGTGTTTTGAAGGGTATCCCAGAGAAAAATTTTGTTATTTTTCCTTGACATATCTCCCGCTTTTTTTTTAAAGACTCTTTACTCCCCTCGCTTTGAAAAGGGGAATTTTCTTTCTCTTTTCATAGCAGGAAAAAGGCCTACGGAGATCGGAAATCGCCATATCCGCCGCCGGTCTGAAGAGTCCGTAAGTTCCGTTCCCTTTCTGAAATTCTCATTCTGTATCTGGGGCTCCGGTTGGAGAGTCTGGGCGCCTTACAGGTTTGAGGCAACCCTTCCAACGCTGAGTCAAAAGCGCTGGAGCTAAAAATCTCCCCTTTATTTAACAGGGAAGGTTTTTAGCTCCAGGCTGCGTTGGGTTGCTTGTTCTTGCTCTTTTTAAGGAGTGCAGCATGCACAGATATTATATAGAGTAAAATAGTGGTTTATTTAAATTTCACAATCGCTTTACATTGCCTTGTGCTGTTTGGATGGTAGACCGCTTCGAGCGTAACTACAAGGCGGGGAAAGAGAAAAGAAGGAAGGGGGGGGGTTGGAACCGTGTATGCGGGAGATGATTGAAGTGGATTATTCTACACTCGGTTGGGGACGGTTGAATTACAGAAAAAGGGTTCCAAGCGGCCTTTGGGACTTTTCTGTAACTTTGGCTACCTTCCTGGCATGGGGGGGGGGGGCGCACCCTTGTAGCGCTCTGGGGGAAAAAACCGAACGACCCTTCTTCAACAAGGGAGTCTCTCAGCCTCCTCCTCCCACCCCCACCTCGAGCCTCCGAACCTGCCCGGGGACCTGCTAGTTGGTCAGGGACGATTAAATCCCAGATTCGGGAAATCCGGAGAGCTGGGTGGGCGAAGACGCCGACGCCGCCCGCCAAGAGCCGAGGTGCAGCCGAGGGATAGCGCTCCCCACCTGCGGAAGCAAGTCGCGGGGAATACCGCAGGCTTCTGGGATTAACATTTAGGAAGCTGCCTGCGATTCAGCCTTGCGGTTTCCCCTCAGGAAATTAAAGGCGTTTTTGGGCTGCCAAGGTTGGGGGGAGGGGGAGTGGTAGGGAAAACTCCCTCGTCTGTTTTGCAGAGTGCCCCCCGGGGGGGGAGAGGAAGTGGGAGCTGCTGGGTAACCCTGCAAACCGCTTGCCGAGGGGGGCCCTTTCGCCTGCCTTTCCCCCCTGCCCGCCCAGCGCCCATCCCGCTGCTTTTGCCGTTAAACCGCGAGTCCTCCCGGGCGCTTGGGAAGCCCGCTCGGCAGGAAACATCTGCGCGCCTCTCCCAGGACCTCGCCCGCTCCGCCCAGCCTCCCCCCATCACAGCTTACCTTGAAGGCCACGGGGAGGGTCTTGTTGCATCTCCAGTGGGAAGGCAGCACCGAGCACAAGAAGTTGGGGCTGTCGGTCCTCACCAGCTCTCCCGGGTGATCGGCCAGGACGTCCACCACCGAGCGCGCCTCGGTCCGGCTGCGAGGTCCCGGGACCGGCGCGCTTAGGGCACCGCTGTTCTCTCCCATCTTGCCGCAGGGGAAGGCCGTGGAGGGAGGTGTGAAGCGCCTGCTGGTGCTGGGGTCTACGGGAATACGCATCACAACAGCGGGCGTTAGGGGAGGAAGGAGGAGGGGGCGGCGGTGCTGCTGCTGCTGTTGCTGGCCGAGAGGCGAGGGAAACGGGCGCCCAGGGCGCAGCGAGCCAGATGCCCAAGAGCGCACGGCGGGCTGCTCCGAAGCCAAGCGCGGGAGAAAGCCGCCCCAGGCACCCCCGCAAGTCGGGCCGCCGCCACCACCAGTCCCTGCCGCTTCGGCCGCCAGTCGCTCCTTAGGGCGCAGCTCAGGCGGCGCGTCTTCCCGGGGCCCCGTTGCGCTTCTCGTGCTCCTCGCCTCCGCCGGCGGTGCTCGCGGCCAGGCGGCGGGCCCAGGCGCCTTGGTGGGGGATCCCCCGGGGCCGAGAGCTCCGTCCTTCGGCCGCTCGGCGTTGCAGTCCCGTGGCGCTCGGCTCCGGAGCGCAGACGGTCGCGGTGGGGAGCCCGGAGGCGGTCAGCGAGCGGTTGGCCGAATCCCAGAGCGCTCCTTTCGCGCGCCTCCCGCGCCCAGGCACAACCAAGGCGACTCAGACCAAATAAACCCCGGCTCCGTCGGCGGCAGCAGCGGGGCAGCAGCGGCGCTCGGGACTCCCTCCCGCAGTCACGACGGAGGGGCGGGGAGGCGAACCAGCAACATCCCGCGCTTCTCGGCTCGGCGGCTTCTCTCTCCCCGCGAAGGGACCGCGGCGAGACCTCAACAGGTTTCAGTTCTCTCCGCCGGGCTCCGGCCCCTGTTTCCTGCTCCTCCTGACAAGCACGCCAGGCGCCCTTAGCCGGCCTCCTCCTAACCCGCCTCCTCCCGACACGTCTGAAAGCAGCCGAAAAGTGGCCGCGGTTACATACTGGCTCCTTCCCTTCTTTCTGTCACTTCTTTTTTTCCCCCCTTGTTCTTTTTCTTAAAAGTTTATTTACACAGAGGCGGCCAGGGGGCGGGGCGCGGGGCGGCGCAAGGGCAGCGGAGCCAGCCACTCAGAGCGGCGGGGCGGGGCAGGGAGGCTGGGAGGAGGAGGGGTCTGCCAGGGCCCCGCCCCTTTTTGAAGCATACCCCGCCCGCTTCCTTAGAAAGGGGAAAAAAACGTGCGGCCGCGGAGGCTTGTTGGGGGGGGGCAGCGTGTTTGGTTCCCCCCCCTTTCTGCTTCTCTCTTTTAGCGCTTCCTTTCCCTTCCTCTCCCCGCAGAACAAATCGATTTCCCGCTCAAAACTTTGATTGCTGCCCCGAGGATGGTTTTGATAAACACTTGTGTCCACGGGGGTGAAAAGTGGAGCCGACTTCCACTAACCGGGTGCTCCTCCAGACGGGTTTGGTTACAACGCCCATCGTCCTTGGCCAGTGGGGCTGGGAAGATGAAAGCTGTAGTCCAAACCACGCGGGAAGGGTGGGGCGGCTGGGAAGCCGAACATCAGGCTAGGGAAAGTTCCCCAGAACGAACGTGGAGAGCCGCAACTGGAAGGGCGCAAAAACCGAAGGGTTAGCGGAGTTCACACAACGCGTGAAAGAAACTCTGAATCCGGGCAAGCGACCTGAATATTCACTGTTCCTACGTTGCCCTTCCTAAGCTGCTTGATTCCCGCAGAACGGTATGCTAAGGGTTGCGTTCCCACAATCTCTTAGACGGCCACCTAGCCCTCTTTACCCTCGAGTAACAACCTGTTGTGTGAATCCAAGCCAAATTATTTCATCCTCGAGATAGCCAAGAGTTTAAACCCCCCCCCCCCCGTTCAACCCTAGTCCAGGATTTGACCAACCATCAAATCTCGGCCCGAAGGGGGGAAAAAGAGGTCGCCAACTCTTGGCGGGTTGTGTGAAGGAGGGCATCACCTTGAGTCCTGCTTTGGGGCTTCCCTCCCCCGCTTCAGGATCGGCGTATGGTACAGGCAGAAGGCTGGGTAGCTTGCGAACTACATGTCACGGCGTCATCCAGCGGATTTCCACCGAAAAAAAATGGCTTGAAATGTAAATTACGATTAAGGACGCGCTACGCCTCTTAACGCGATGACTCGCTTTGTCTAAGCCGCCTAAGCAGGTCAAACACACCTTTACCATACATCCGCACAGCGAGTTAAAACTACGCGAATTTCACCGTAGCGGCTTCTCGTGGTAAGGTATCCTGTTCGTTGTATTACTTCGGGCCTTAGTGGGGAGGAAATGGATCCGCTCCCGAATTGTTTTAGTCCTGTCGCCTTCGCATAGTAACCCCCCCCCCGCCCGAAAGCAGGTCCGATTCGGTTCTACCGGGGGCTACCCGCGAGTCCAAACGGGAGCGCGCCGCTTTGATTTTTCTTCTCCTCAGCGGACCAAACGGCGGCTCCGCTTTCTTTGACCTGGTTCCGATGAGCTCCCTAAAACAGAGAGGCGGCCTTTGCACAACAGGCTAAACAAGGCGGAGGGAAAGATTTCATGGGGCGCTGCTCCAGCCATCTCTCCGGTTCTTCTTCTTTTGGTGGCTCTTCTCTGCCTCGCGGGGGAAGAGACACGGGGGTTGGGGGTATTATTGATCCGATATGATTTGTTTTAATCCCGGGATTAAAATTCGGAGGCTTCTCGCCAGAGGCCCGCAAGAGGCTTTTCCAGGAGAGGAGGAGGAGGAGGAGGAAGAGGAAGAAGAAGAGGAAGAAGAGGAAGAGGAAGAGGAAGAGGAAGAGGAAGAAGAAGAGGAGTAGGAGTAGGAGTAACGAGGCTTGGATTAAGGTGTCCTTGGCCAGTTTGTGGCTATTGAGGAAAACAAGTAGTTATCCCTTAGAAGCCATAATGGGATCGAATAGTTGTGGGGCACACAACCTGCGAGTTGAGCACAGAGATCCCGTTGAGTTGTCGGGCTTAGGGCTGCGCTACTCTCCCGTTTTGCCGAAAGGCCGGTGGCCTTCAAAGGCCGGCGGGTTATAGAGAGCGTTCGGGGGGGGGGTGGCGGCGGGGAAAGCCTGGAGGGCAGAAGGGTCACTGGGCAGAGGGGCGCTCTATTCTCCGTCCGCTTTTCTCAAAACGGAACGCGAAACGAATTGAAAGGTTCCCCCTGATTGCTCCCTAGGGCCCACGGAACGACCGGCCACCAGCTGCTTCCCCGAAGGTTTCCGGGGAGTGGCAGAGCGAAAGCTGCCCGGTGCAGTCGGCAACCGAGAGGCCCGTCCGCCTTTTTGTCGGCGTTTCAAAGCCGCGGCCCTGCGAGGTTTGAGCAGGGGTGGGGGGGAGTCCTCTGCTATTCCTGCCGCCGCCGCGGCTCCTTCGGAATGGATACTTCGTTGGAGAGCCGTCGGGCGAAGCCGCAGCGTCAGCGACGTCGGCCAGATCTTCGCTAACCTTCCCGCCCTTAACTTCTGAGCTACTGGTCAGGCGCTGAAACACATCATGTAAGCGAAGTGGAGACAGTGGAAGAAAACAAAAGGGAGAGGAGAGAAGGAAGAGAGGTTAGGAGAGACGGAGCAGAGGGGAGGAAAAGAGTAAGAGAGAGAGAAGGAGTGGAAAGAGGAGAGAGGAGAAGGAGAGAGGAAGGGGAAGTAGAGAAGAGAGGGATGGTAGAGGGAAGGAGGAGGGAGGGAGAAGGGAGGGAGAGGAGGCAGGATGGCGGTGGATAGGGTATAAATATGGTGTATGGAAAGCAGAAGAGCAAATGGTTGCTGTGGGTTGATGATAAGAGGAACTGATATAGTATGGGAATAACACGAAATAGTTCTGGTTAAGGTGTAATGGTATACCTGTGGTTAGTTGTATGGGAATTTTTTCCCCTATAAGCCACTTCTGAGCTACTGGGAAGCGCCCTCGGCCGGGTCCCTTTGTCGGGAGTGGGGCGTGGGAGGGTGCCCCGATCCCATCTAGACAGCTCAGTAGCGAAACTGATCAGATAAACCGACGTGTTCCATTACAAACGCTTTTATGTAATAAAGCGCTTTTATCCCTTCAAGCCCAAATCTGCTTCTCTTGGGCCTGTAACTTAGGAAAAGTGGGGAAAGGGGAAAATAGGAAACTGACATCCCCCCACCAAGGCCCAGAAGGTCGGTTCCTTTTAATCAAGGCCCAGAACCGGCACAGGGAGAAATAGGCTGGAACGGAGGCGTCCTTTTGAATCCTGGTGGATTGTTGTTGGGAGGGCGATATTTTAACCTGCTGTGCAAACGCGGCCCATTTGGTCGACATTAAATAAACCCAGGTACGTTACAGGGCAAGCGACTGAACTCACACAGCCAGGCTACCACGAATGGGGGCTGCCTGTGTGGTTGTGGGAACTCAGCCCATTTGATAATGGAGGTCCGAGGTACTATTCGAGAAAATGAGATCGGGAAATACACCAGTCTTGTGAACGCAGTTCTTTCTCAAAGCAAGCGCCTTTAGTTCCACAGACCTCCTTCCTTTTTCCTATAAGGTCGCGCCGTATCGCCCTCTTTTCCAAGCTCTCCCCAGATATGCCCGAACGGCGATCCCCGGTATTCCCAGCCAGTTGCTAAGATTCCCCCATCTTCCCTAACGGTCTCAGGCAGCTCTCGGTCTCCACGGTTTCCGGGGAAGAGGGTGGGAGAGCATTGTCTTCCCAACTCCTGGTTCCGACTGGCCCAGGGGAAGCGGATCAAATGTCGGCGGAGGCCCGAGGGCCACAGGGGTGCCGAGGAGCGAGTCGGGATGGCAGAAGTTAGAAGGAAAAGAGAAGGGAAGTTTGGAGGAGCGATTAGAAATCCGGCGGCGGGATTCCCCGAAGAAACTCCAAGTGGGCGACGGGGATTCGGGCTCAGGAAGAGCCGAGAATTATTTCACGAGGAGAACAAGCAACTAATCTAAGGAACAGAGTATTTGTTTTCCCTTTTGCATTCTTTTCTCTTCTTCCTTTCCTTGTTTTTTATTTCCTCCCCTTTTTCCTTCTTTCCTTTTTCTCTGTCTCCTTCCCTCACGCTAAATAAATAATAAAATTTCCATCTGTCCTCCCTTCCCCTTTGAACAACTGGGGTATTTATTTATTTATTTTTAATTTAAACGTCCGTGATAATTTCCACTTTATTCCCAACGAATCCTCCTCCTTCATCACCGACGTATCTTGCAACTAAATCGATGCTGCTTAATTCGGTCTTTCCGAGAAGACGGATTGCAGTTTAACTCCTTAGCAGGTGCAATTCGCTCGGCTTTTACTCTGAAGTAAGCCTAATTGCGTTTCATGAAATTTCC